GCCTTTCACCTGTATGAAAAGTATGGTCATTGGTGCATGCAGCATCCTGGATTTCAAGAGGGATGTCCAACGTGGGGATCAGGCCTAAACAAGCAGTCAGACATCCCCCGAGGGCACAGGTCGGGCTGAGGGACACCCCCCACCCCTGCAAGAATTTCGTGCACCGGGCCTCTAGTATAATCTAAAATTCCAGTCAAAACTAAGGACAAGGGCCCAGCCAGTATGCCTCAGTAGTTGAGCATTAGCCCATGAATCACGAGGTCACAGTTGATTCCTGGTCAGGGCACATGCCCAGCTTTCAGGCTCCATCTGATCCCCTGGTAGGGGGCGTGCAGGAAGCAGCCAATTGATGTTTCTATCTCTCTCTCTCCCTCTCCCTTTCTCTCTAAAATCAATAAAAATATATTTAGAAAAAAATAATTAAAAAATATTTCCTTAGAAAAGATATTTATATATTAAAAACAACAACTAAGGACAAGGTAAGGATAGAAGTGAGGGAGAGGCAGAGACCATAGGTGGGGAAAATGTTGTGGGTATTACCAGGTTCAGAGGGAAAATACAGATTCTGATACACTTTACAGGGAAACATAGTAAGTCTTAAGTTAGAGGTAGCCAATAGAAAAAAGAACTTAAAATCACCAGAAGAAAATTTAGTCACCAGAAGGTAAAGAGAGGAGGAAAAAAGCAAGTGTATTATGGCAGAAATCCTCGTCCATATTAATAGAACTTTTTTGTTGTTGTTAATCCCACCTGAGGATATTTTTTTCCATTGCTTTTTTTTTTTAGAGAGAAAAGTGGGAGGGAGGAAGGAAGGGGGAGAGGGGGAGAGGGAGAGACAGAGAGAGATGGACATAGACTAGTTGCCTCCTGCACACACCCTGACTGGGACTGAGAACCAAACATGCAACTCAGGTATGTGCCCTTGACCATACCTGGGGGTGAGGGGTGAGGGTGGACGACGACCATGCTCCAACCACTGAGCAACACCAGCCAGGGCATATTAATAGAATTTTTAGGTGGTCATATTTTCTCAGTCTTCCCAGGCACTAGATGTACCACAAGCTATTATGAACACTTATAGTATATGCTGGGGCAACTTCAAGGAAACTACTTAAACTCCCGAAAATACCATTTGCCATCTTTCTACTCCTCCTGCTGCCTGGTACCTGAATGTGCTGAGTGAATGGCTAAAGCTTAACCTTGGAATACAAGGTCAAAAATGGAGCAGAGAATGGGGAACTGTTTAATGGGTATGAAGTTTTAGTTTTACAAGATGAAAAGTTCTGGAGATTGGTTGTAAAACAAGGTAAATATATGTAACACTACTGTACTGAACTAAACACAAAAAAAATGATAAGATGGTAAATTTTATGGTGTGTGTATTTTACTACAATTAATTAAAAAGAGTAAAATGAATAGTGTCACTACTCTCTAAAATTATTATTATTATTATTAAGCCTCACCAAAGAATATGTTTCCCTTGCTTTTCTTAGAGAGAGAAGAAGGGAGAGATGGAGAGAGGCAGAAAGAGAGAGAAAGAGAGAGAGAGAGAGAGAGAGAGAGAGAGAGAGAGAGAGAGAGAGAGAGAGAGAGAGAAAGAAATATCATTCATACACGCCCAGGTTGGAGATCAAACCTGAAACCTAGGTATGTTTCCTGACTGGGAATCAAACCCACAACCTTTTGGTGCACTGAACCAACACTCCAACCAACTAAGCCACCCAGCCAGGACTCTAAAATAATTTTTTAAAATATATTTTTATTGATTTCAGAGAAGAAGGGAGAGGGAGAGAGAGATAGAAACATCAATGATGAGAGAGAATCATCGATTGGCTGCCTCCTGCACGCCCCCCTACTGGGGACCAAGTGCACAACCCGGGCATATGCCCTTGACCGGAATCGAAACTGGGACCCTTCAGTCTGTAGGCTGATGCTCCATCCACTGAGCCAAACCAGCTAGGGCTAAAATGATTTTTTTAAAATATATTTTTATTGATTTCAGAGAGGAAGAAAGAGGGAGAGAGAGAAAAACATCCACAATGAGAGAGAATCATTGATCGGCTGCCTCCTGCAAGTCCCCCACTGGGGGATCAAGCCAACAACCCAGGCATGTGCCCTTGACCGGAATCGAACCTGGACCTTTCAGTTCGTAGGCCGACACTCTATCCACTGAGCCAAACCAGTTAGGGCTAAAATGATTTTTTAAAGAAACAAAAAGATTAGAAGCAGCTAGGTCCTTAGGGACTCTTGGATCAGAACCACCACACTAGTTCTGAAGTTTCTCTTTGAAAAGAGATTTCTTAAGACATTCAAGAAAAATCTTAATTGTGTTGTCTATGTTAAAATTAAAAAGTTTTTTTTTATACTCAGGCAGCATAAAGACAGTGCAAAGACAAGCCATGGAATGGGAAATGGTATGGGTAGTATAGAATTTAAAGAATTTGTCACCAGAACACAGACAATTACAAGTCATTAGAAAAAGACCAGAGGCACATACACTTAAATATGCACTTCCTAAAAGAGGAAACCCAAAAGGCTAATAAGCATAGGAAAGGTGCTCAATGTCATTAGTAATGACACAATTTGTCATCAAATTAAAACCAAGATGAGATAACTTTACATATAAATCTAACAATACTGGTTTTTTTTTGTTTTTTTAAAAATATATTTTATTGATTTTTTACAGAGAGGAAGGGAGAGGGATAGAGAGTTAGAAACATTGATGAGAGAGAAACATGGATCAGCTGCCTCCTACACACCCCCTACTGGGGATGTGCCCGCAACCAAGGTACATGCCCTTGACCGGAATTGAACCCGGGACCTTTTAGTCTGCAGGCCGATGCTCTATCCACTGAGCCAATAGAAATAGAGGTAGCCACAAGAGGTAGCCAATGGAAAGCAGAGGTAGCCAATAGAAGGCTAGGGCTGACCTGGGTTGTTTTGACAAGAGTATCAGCTTTATACAGACAGTCCTCGGGTTACGTCGAACTCGACATATGTCGTTTCATGGTTATGTTGCCATCTCCCATTTATTTATAAAAAAAAAAAGTTCTGTCATTTCTACATATGTACATATGTGCTTTATGTTTTTCATTATTTATTTACCAGAAGTAAAGGTCAAGAATTGTTACCTTTCTTTTAAATTTTTTTTACTGTTTCACTTCATTACTGCTGTGTATGTGCTCCACGTGAGTGACATAGGTGCTTTTGTTCCGACTTACGGCGAAAATCACATTACGTCGTGCCATAGGAACGGATGTCTGACATAACAAGAGGACCTACTGTATTTATTCATTACTAGAGAACTGGTGCACGAATTCGTGCATGGGTGGGGTCTGACCAGGGGAAGGGGCTGCAGGAGGGTGGCCAGCCAACCCGCCCTCGATCGGGCTGGTTGGCCAGCCACAGTGCATGTCATAGCAACCGGTCGTTCCAGTCGTTCCAGTCGCTTAGCTTTTATCTATATATATAAAAGCCCAGCAACCGACTGGTGGAATGACCGGTTGACCAGTCACTATGACACGAACTGATCACCAGGGGGCAGATGCTCAATGCAAGAGCTGCCCCCTGGTGGTCAGTGCACTCCCACAGGGGGAGCGCCACTCAGCTGACCGGGATGAGCGGCGCTCCCACAGCAGGCTAATCCCCGCAGTCCACGCTCCCCCCCCCCCCCCACACACACACACAGTGCACGAATCCGTGCACCAAGCCTCTAGTACAGTGATGGCGAACCTGACACGCGTGTCAGAGGTGACACATGAACTCATTTTTTTGGTTGATTTTTCTTTATTAAATGGCATTTAAATATATAAAATAAATATCAAAAATATAAGTCTTTGTTTTACTAAGGTTGCAAATATCAAAAAATTTCTATGTGACACAGCACCAGAGTTAAGTTAGGGTTTTTCAAAATGCTGACACGCCAAGCTCTAAAGGTTCACCATGACTGCTCTAGTATATATAGAATACTGTGCATTTATGATTCACTTACTTTTTTTTAAATATATTTTATCGATTTTTTACAGAGAGGAAGGGAGAGGGATAGAGAGTTAGAAACATCGATGAGAGAGAAACATCGATCAGCTGCCTCCTGCACACTCCCTACTGGGGATGTGCCCGCAACCAAGGTACATACCCTTGACCGGAATCAAACCTGGGACCCTTGAGTCCGCAGGCTGATGCTCTATCCACTGAGCCAAACCGGTTAGGGCTGTTTCACTTACTTTTATGTCTGTTTTATATTTGAGATTTTTCAAAAACAATTAGGGGAAAAGAGTTGGAGACAATCTGGGTGTTTTATTACCCAGGAAATGTGTACGTGAATGTGAACACTATATAAAAGAATACAGTACAAGGGTCAAAGGTAGTAACTCTATTTACAATTATAGAAACATAGAGAGTTCTCAAAAACAAGGCTGAACAAAGAAGAATGGAGGTTTATAGCACAATGCTACATTTAGATGTAAACATTTAAAAACACCAACATGAAACAATGCTATGTGTTTTTCAAGAATACACAGATGTCCAGATAAACCCATGGAAGAGGAATTAGAAAGGCATATATACATATAAAACATATAAAAATACACTGCAGTGAATAGCTAACTGGATAAAAACAGGAGTCAGCAACCTTTTTCTTAAAGGGCCAGATAATAAATATTTTAGACTTTGCAGACCATTAGGTCTTATGGCAACTATTCAACTCTACCATTATAACTCAAAAGCAGAAGGAAACCAATGGGCATAGCTGAATTCCAATAAGGCTACACTGACACTCACAGCAGGATCGGCTATAGTTCACCAAGCCCTGGAAAAGGAGAATGGGTTAAGGAAAGGGAATAAATGGAAAATATAAAGGGAGGCTCTGTGTGGGCCAATGACAGAGGATGTCTTTACATATTTCCAACTCAATTCTGGGGAAATAAACTCCTTTATCATTAAGAGGTAATCAAAGAAAGAAAACAGTACCTTTTTTGGTTGGGATTTTCTTCCACACTTACCTCCTTGTTGTCGGTCACAGGAACCCACTTAAATATCCTAAGCGATGTGTCACCCACAGTAACCCATTTTTTCTCCCTAAAAGAAAAATACTTCTTAGGACTGATAAAACAATAAAATAGATTTTCTGTTCATAACTTGTGCTTTCCTACTTCTCAGCAAATCATTCCTTCGATCTTTAATGCTTTCTAACTTCCTTTCCGTCAAATTACCTTAACTTTCAGTGCAAAATCATCCCTTTCAGAAAAACTTCTGTCAAATTCCTTTGGCTCTGAACTCTCTACTTGTCATTTTTCCTCATGTACAGAATACCAAAGCCTTTTTCCCCCTAACATACTAACCAATATAGAGTACCAGCAGATTTCCAAACTCAGGTATCTATCTAGCATCTTTTTCTTTTCAAAAGATAATTCAATTTCACAGATACTTATAAGGCCCTCCAGGATATAAAGGATGTATAAGATATAGTTCCTACCTGGGGAGCTCATAGGAGTGAAAAAGATAAGGAAAAGACTGAAGGTGGCAAGGATGAGAAGGCTGAAAGACAGAGTAAGACTAGGATATCCCATGGATGGGAGAACTTCGATGACTCCTGTGGAACTCTGGGTTGAAACACAAACTCCATTTAAAAATAATCACAGGCCAGGATGCTTCCAGCTAACAGAATAAAGCCTTACACTGGTTTCTGGAAGAGGTGAAGGCCAAGCCATGGAAGAACTGCTTTAAGGTTTTATTTTCCAGAAAAAGTAACTTTTGAGATAAGCCTTAAACATATGAGAAGCTTAATCTTTTCCCAGGCACATACCTAGGGAAAGGCAAGTGACATTCTTGAAAATGGCAGAAAATTGTGGACAAGCGGGGGGTGGGGGTGGGGGAGTAAGGGGTGTGTGTATGCTGAAATTACTTCTGAAAGTTTCAAGTCCACATCTGATAACATAAAAAAGCAAAAACTGTTGTTACTTTTGCTATTGAGGATGTTATTCAGCAAATAACATCACAGGAACATAAAAAAGAGACTGTGATATAATAGAAAGAAAGAATTAAAGACTTAGAATATTGGGAGTTAATTCCTGGACAAGACACTCCATTTCCTCATTTATTTAACAAATATTTAATATACAAGACCTTGTGCTAGGCCCTAGGCACAAAAGGAACAATATGCATAGTCCGTACCCTCACAGAGCCTGCACTCCAGTTAGAAACAGACATCAAACAACTCATTTCATTGTCAGTCACTTAATCATTAGGTTAGCCATATCAAATTGCCACTTTTGTAGGTTAAAAATCAAATATAGGAAATGTCTTATGGTTTAATCCAATATAATTGTGGAAAGTTTTATGAAGGGGATCTGATCTAGATTGGGGTCTTGAAAGGTGTCCTTGAGGAACCAACTTTTGAGCTGAGCTAGGAGTTAACTAGGCAAAGGGGATGTAAGCCTGAGGAAGGATGCCGGGCAGCTGGAATAGTAGTGCGGCTCTAATTGAAAGATGGCCAGCATCCTGAAAAAGAGGGCAGTTTGAGCCCGGCAGGTGAGGCAGGCAGGACCAGGTTTGGTCTCATAAGCAAGAAGAGGTCACTGAAGCATTATTTTCTTAGCAGGGGAGTACTCTGATGAGATCTGCACTTGAGAAAAATATTATCATGCTGAGTGAAATGTGAGCAATGGACCAAGGACTGAGCAAGCTGAAACAGGGAGATCACAGGGAGGCTGGGGGAGAGAGGATGTCAGCTGGCTTAGGCTACTAGTGGGGGCAGAGAATGCCGGAAGAGAAAGAAAGGTGTGCCAACTCTTAGATTTCACACACAAAAACCCAGAATTACATTTGGAGGGGAAAAATCATGATTGATTAACCAATGTTTATAATGGGTCCCAACTATACCCGAAGCCTTTGGATATAGAGGAATAAGGAACTTGATCTTGTGGGGAAATGAGCAAACACGAGGTAAGAAGCCCCTAAAAGGGGTGGAGAGTGAAAGACAGGAGGGCTTTGGTAAGGCTTCCTGGAGGGAGTTAACACCTACCAGGGCTTTAAAGTTATTAATAATCATCAACTAGAGAAAAGCACTCAAGAAGGTGACATAAATCAGAGAAAGGTAAGTGTCACATGATACTCATATGTGGAATCTAATGAACCAAGTAAACTGATGGGGGGGAAAAACTATGTCCCAGAGATACAGAAGCATGAACAGACTGTTGAACCTCAAAGGGAAGGCAGCAGAGGGTGAATGGGAAGAGATCAACCAATGAACTTGTGTGCATAACCCGTGGACACAGACAATGGGGTGGCGAGGGCCTGGGAAGGGACGGGAGCGGGCTGGAAGAGGTTAAGGCGGGTAAGGAGGACCTATGTAATACTTTCAAAATATTTTTTTTAAAAGTTGGCACAAGTAGTTGGCTGTGAAACTTTAATGTGGTAATACATCGGCGTTCTTGATACAAAATAGGCAGTCAACCAGCATCTGCAAAGAACAGTACATGAGCCGTTTCTAAACGAGGAGCAGGTCTCGACTCCTCTACCCACAGCTCCCAGGGCACTGAGAGAAAATGCCTACACAGTTCAGAGTGCGTCTGGTATTAGGGGAGAGAGTTTTGATTTCCACACCAAGTTTGCTCCCGTGCTAGGTAGGTACCAAGTACCTGTCACCAAACTTAGAGTGCTCAGTCTGGCGGACGGGATACTCAGATTGTTGGTTAACATATGGGACAGTTCACAAAGCAAAAGCCTACAGAGGCGGGCATCCGCGGAGTCAAAACCGCACCAGGATTGGTGAGAGGAGCAACATCTTCCAGACCAAAGCGACCGGAAGCCGGCATCTCCTCTGGCGACACACCGCCTACTGACAGGTGGGTGTGGCCACGAGCCGGTCGAGCCGCTAATTGGTCAGGGCTGGCGCGCCCTCTGAACTCACGCCGACGCGAGCGGCACTCTCCTCCCGCCTTCTCCGTCTCCCCCCTTCCCCCCACTCCAGCGCCAGTCGGTGGACTCACACCCCGCCTGCCGGTCTGGTGCTCCTCTGGGCCTGGACCGGCGAACCCCGCCAGCACCCTCGGCCCCGGCCTCGGCCCCTCACCATTTCCGCACTTTCTCGATGGCAGCCATCACCTTCTTGATGTCGTCCTTGGCCCGGCTGCGGGTCTCGGCCCTGACTGACCTGCCCGACATGGCGGCGGCGGGGGCGGCGGGAGCGGCGAGAGCCGGGGCACTGCTCCCAAGACGCGGGGAATCGCGCGCTTCACGCGCCGCCACCCGCCCGCCGCAGCAGCGTCACCGCGGCCGTCGCCCCCTCCGTGCGCGCGTGCGCGGGGAAGCGCGCGCACTCGCCCGCCCCTTGGGGCTGCAAGCCTCAGCGCGCCTGCGCACCCCGCTGCTGGCGGCCAGGACCCCTGGGTGCCCCGGAAGACCCCTCGGCCGGGACGGAAGTGCGCGGTGAGCGGGCAGCATGTGCCGCGGGCAGCCGGTGCCCTGGGCAGGGCGAGGTGCGAGGCGCTGCCAGTGGAATCTCTGGGACTTTCCCAGAGGATTTGGAAGTCGGCGTCTCGTTCTCAAGCCACGGTTGCTGCCATTACCTGTTTTGTGGACTTGACCTTACGGGGACTGCGGTTCTGCATCATCCTTTCCTGCTGCCCTTCCTGTCTGGCACCTGTCTGGCTCCCCAGATAAGCCGCTGTACTCCAGCCACAGAATTTCACACCTTTCTTCAGTATGCCTTACAACCTTGTACACACGTTCCACACTGGTCAACTGACCACTTTGGTACTCGTCCAACATCTCATTGAACTCAGAGAAGCCTTGACCTGACATCCTGGGGTTCCACTTGTTCATACTTATTAGCACTCTACTCATTGTCTTTAATTCAGCAATAATTCATTAAATGATGCCTGCATTGTACAAGGCTCTGTGCGAAGTGCTGCAGTCAAAATCTGGGGTTTTGCTTTCAAAGAGCTTTCAGTTTAGTGGTACATACAGATCAGAAAACAGGCTTTAAAAAGGCATTTTATAAATGCTAGGCTAAGGGAAGTACAAGGTACTATGACAATCCTAATATAATTGAGAAGTGTCCAGAAGCTTTTGGGGGGAAAATGACCTTGAAGCTGACTTCTGCAAATAGGGTAGATGCAATTGCTCAGAGGCAAACTGTGTTCACAAACATTGTAGATGCTCAATAAATGTTTGGATGAATGCTGAATATGCAGTGCAGCTCCAGTGAGACAGGCATTTATTGATGCTTGCAGTATGCAAGGAGAGTCCTGTAGCAGCTGTTCAGGAGACAAAGGAAGCAGGTGACAGTTTGCATAGGTTGGTAGCATCTACTTCTCTCACCTCTAAAGAAACTTCCTCCTATGTGCCCCAGAGAAATGCCTAGCTAACCCTGAAATTGACACAGCCTCTGACTATGACTGTTCAGCTTTCATGATTGACCAACATCATGGCTTGATAAGCAAATGTCTTGCTGATGAGAGGCCTAGGAATAGTGTCTGCCTGACTGAGGAGTGGAATTGCTGAACCATGTGCAGGGAAGGGATGATTCTAGAAATAACGGGATAGCCCAGCAGGTGTGACTCAGTGGCTGAGCATTGACCTATGAACCAGGAGGTCACAGTTCGATTCCTTAGGTCAGGGTACATGCCCGGTGGTGGGCTTGATCCCCAGTAGGGGTCATGCAGGAGAGAGCCGATCAATGATTCTAGTCATTGATGTTTCTCTCCCCCTCTCTGAAATCAATAAAAAATATATACAGTATTTTAAAAATTAGCTACACCCAGAGCCATTGTCTCCCCATGTAGTGATTCTAGGGAGTCAGCTGATGGAATCAATGACAAACATCTAGGATCAATGACAAACATCTAGGATCAATGACAAACATCTAGAGTCCATTGTGAGCCCAGTCAGCGTGGCTCAGTGGTTGAGCTAACTATGAACCAGGTCATGGTTTCATTCCCGGTCAGGGCACAGTCCCCGTAGGGGGCATGCAGGAGGCAGTCAACCAATGATTCTCTCTCATCACTAATGTTTCTGTATCTCCCTCTCCTTTCTGAAATCAATAAAAATACACTTAAAAAAACGTCCATTGTGATGTTGCACAGTCCTACAATTAGATGAAGCTCTGTGTTTAGTCCTAGAACGTATGTAGAGATGATCAGTTTAACCTAGGACTGCCTCTCAAAACCCTCCTGCAGTTCTCCATGTTCTTGTATGGAATGAGCAAGTCTTTAGGGAGTCAGCTGTGGCAGAAAGGTGTCATTAAGGAAGAAAAAAAGAGTAAAGGAGAGGGTGAGGGGTTAAAACAGGATATTCAATAGAAAATTTGATTTTTTACAAAAACAAAAACCCCTGCTACTTAATTAGTATAATTTATAAGCCGGTAGGTTTGAAATGTTTAAGCACAAAAAAGCTGAGTTCACTTGCTGTAGTGACAGCATCTACAATGAAAGCAGGAGGGAAAGTTCTATGGGTTTATTAGAAAGCTGGTATGCTCAGCGCTCCATGGCTGCCTTCTTAACCCCAGATTGGTCCTGGGATGAGATGGAGGAATGATCAAGGTATGAATTGTTTCCGTACTGCTACCCAGGCTGCAGCTGGTCTGTGGGATACCTGGAAGAACTTAAAGGTGAGAATGGACAGCCAGTAATCAGGCCATAGATAACAATTATGAAAACATAAAAGACTACTTCCACATGTCCAGAATTTTTAGAGCTCTGAGATATACCTGGCTGAACTTCCAGGAACTCACAATAAAATACTGTATTTCTGGTGTATTAATGAGAGCTTAGTGAACTTGAAACTGCAGGGGGGTGGGTGGAATGAAGTGTGGTTAACACAGAGGTTAATAGTGTTAGATGTGGTCAAGAAGATTCCTTCTAAGACTTGTTTTGGCTCTCCTCCTGCCATGAGGCACAGACCTTGCAGGACCAAGGACATGTGACTACCCAGAGCTTCTGCTGCCACTTCACCCACCAGACCACAGTCCAGGTACCTAAGAGCTTGGAATCCGTACCCAAACAGGCCCAAATGTGCTTCCAGGGCCGGTATGAGCCTCTCCCCTGGCTCCATTCCTATAAAGGCAGTGCTGCTCAAGTGGTGGGTGAAGGGGTGATGGTTCTCAGGGATCTGACAGCACTTGGAGGTGTGCACTGGAGTATCCCCTGCAATGTGGGAAAGAACCAGGTAGGAAGAAAAGAGAAACAGGCCTTGACCATGGGATGGCCTGTTTTGGGACCATAGTGTGACATACATGAGTCTGAGAATTCTAAATTCAAACTTGGCCTTATAGGATGTTGTACCTATCAAGATAGAATGGAGCATACTTGAGCTCAGTTTAAGTTAACTTTTAAATATTAAGACGTGGCATATGGGCATCCATTTCTATTCTTGCCTCTGGGTATGGGCCTGGTTGTTAAAGGTATGTATCTATCTTAGAACCAGACAGGCCTAAATGTAAATATCTGGGCATGCCATTTATAGGTTGTGTGCCTTGGACAATTTACTAATACCATTAAGGCTTTTTTTTTTTTTAATGTTTTTTATTGTTTTCAGAGAGGAAGGGAGAGGGAGAGAGAGATAGAAACATCAATGATGAGAGAGAATCATTGATCGCCGCCTCCTGCATGCCCCCAACTGGGGATCGAGTGCGCAACCTGGGCATGTGCCCTTGACCGGAATCGAACCTGGGACCCTTCAGTCTGCAAGCTGACGCTCTACCCACCAAGCCAAACCAGCTAAGGCCGTTAAGGCTTTTTTAGCTTCAAGTCAGAGTATCTGACTCAAATTGACTTCATCATAAACAGGGACTTAATGGCTTTTATAACTGACAAGTCCAATGGTGAAAAGCTCAGGTGTGTCTGGATCTGCCAGTCTAAACAGCATCCTCAGCATATGGTCTCTCTATATCTTTGGCCTTACTTTCCTGTTAGCTTCATTCTCAGGCAGGACTACACATAATAACAAGCTCACAACTTACTAAGTGATCCCAGCAGAAAATGAAAGGTATTTTTACTTTTCTAAAGTTCTGGAAAAGTCCAGGGAGCTGCTGATTGGTTATATGCCCACTATAGTGTCTGGGTCTACCCTCTATATATCTATCATATGGATCAAGTCAGGGAAGTGGTAGTTCACCAAATAAAAACATGGTTACTGGGAGAATGGCTGAGGCAAAAACAGTAGCAAGTTAGTAGGGAATAAATGCTTAGCACTAACGTTAGCCAATACTAGTGAAAAGGAAAATGAGGGGGTGGGGGAGGCTTGCAACCTAGTTCAGTATCTGGTTAAAACGGTAGTCTTACTTCCCCACTCTGACTGACTTGGGCAGAGCTGCAGAGCCTAACCCCAGCTGATTTGGGCAGAGCTGCGGAGACCCTCAGGGGCCCACCACAAGAGGAGATATATAAGTCAGAGCCTCCCCATGAGTTGAGTTCAGGCTTTGGATCCGAAATTCCCCTGGACTAGCAGACCTGTGAAATAAAGGTTAAACTTTCCTCCCTCAGAGTGCTGGATGATCTTTCTCCTGTGCATTCTGCCACAACATTTGGTGCATTGGCTGGCAAACGTCTGTTGAGCTGGCTCTTAGGTCACTGCTGACTAGAGGGGACTTCGGGGCACTCACTGCGAGCTCTGGGACCCAAGGAAGGCGCACCACTGGCACATTCGCTGGTTCCTGAACTCACTGGGCCCAGAGGGACTGCAGTGACTCCTCGCTCCTGCAGACCCAAAAGAGGCAGGAAACACCTTTCTGGGACTTCCCGGGAGGGAAGTCAAAATCAGAAGTCTGAACCCCAGGGAAACGGGTCCAAGTTCTGGCCTGTCCTATGGGACAGAAGCGGTAGCTGGCCCCTACCTAGGTAATTATTTACCTCAGGATAGCTTGGATCATCTGGAGGAATGGCTTCTAGACAGTATTCAATGTCTCTGGGACTTCCTGCGAGGGAAGTCAAAATTCAGACTGGCTAAGGGTCCAAGTCTGGCCTGCCTTTGAAAAAGGTAGATGCATTCTTAGGCAGTTTTCTACTGCCTCTGTTCAGGGACTTGTTCTGTATCTCTGCACAATTGAAACTGATTTGGTAAATGCAGGGTATTCTGTGGTGTAAATGTGGCGCTAGCTGGTGTAAAATTGTTTATTTACTGTTAGAGTTTTATGTTTGTTTGTTCCTGTTTTTTTTTTTTTTTTAATATATTTTATTGATTTTTCACAGAGAGGAAGGGAGAGAGATAGAGAGAGTTAGAAACATCGATGAGAGAGAAACATCGATCAGCTGCCTCCTGCACATCCCCCACCGGTGATGTGCCTGCAACTCAGGTACATGCCCTTGACCGGAATCGAACCCAGGACCTCTCAGTCCGCAGGCTGACGCTCTATCCACTGAGCCAAACCGGTTTCGGCTGTTCCTGTTTTTTGTTTGTTTGTTTTTAACCTTCTAAACCTCTCCTGCATTTCCATGGTGATTCAAAGTTTTTAGTGAGGAATGTTATCTGTCTTTATTGTTTAAATATGTCTCTTTGCACTGACTGGTTTGGCTCAGTGGACAGAGTGTCGGCCTATGGACTGAAAGGTCCCAGGTTCGATTCCAGTCAAGGGCATGTACCTTGGTTGCAGGCACATCCCCAATAGGAGGTGTGCAGGAGGCAACTGATCGATGTTTCTCTCTCACCGATGTTTCTAACTCTCTATCTCTCTCCCTTCCTTTCTGTAAAAAATCAATAAAATATATTTTTTAAAAAAATGTCTCTTTGCTGTTTGTTTAAATTGTTTAGCTAGTGAAATTTCTGTATGTGTCTCTTAAAAAATATGAATGTATTGCTAATATGAGGAATGTTAATTATTTACAGGTCACCTAAAAATTAAGGCTAAGAGTTCTAACTACCTGGAAAGAATGTATGGCTTTAGTGTAATGGAGGATGGTAAAGAGAAATGTTGAAAGAAAGTTGAATAAATGACAGGCCAGTAAGCCAGGACAAGTAGAATAGGGAAACTGAGAGGTTAAATAGCAAATTGGAGCCATCTTGTAAATCCTATCTTCCCTAAATCAAGGACATTGGAGCCATCTTGTAAATCTTGTTTTCCCTAAACCAAGGACACTTGGGAGTAAATTATTTGCATTTTGCCTCCCTAAACAGAGGTTAAATAGCTTTGGTCAGTGTACTTAGGGAGACTGATAGAAATCTGATTAGTGTCATTTGCTGTCCATACCCAAGGACAAATGAAGTTAAAAAAATAAGCCTTATTTTGATTACTAGTAGTTTTTTTATTCAGGTTTGTTTGTGT